ATTTCTGTGTCAAATGCATACAAGTGTGTTTAGTGTTTTGCAAATCACTGTGTGTAATGTTTTGCAAAAAGTGTGAAGCTGACAATGTGCTTACAGTTGTGCAAATCTAGGCCGGTGTTTTGCTCCTTGAGTGTAAGGTTTTGCTAATTGTGGGAAAGTTTTAATTTTAGTGTGTAAGCAATTGAAAAAAAAGCTGTAAATTACACACTTCACCTTTAAATGGCAACCTACCATTCAAAAGTGTGGGGTAATGTTTTTGAAAGAGGTTTCTTCTGCTCACCAGGCTGAAGTGTTTTATATTTTACAGTTTTTCTGAATTGCATTTCTTGAAACCATCACTCATTTTCTTAAAACCTTAAACACAAATCCAAATACTCAAACTAAATTCACGAAACCTCTGACTCTTCCATCAAAATCAAACAATCACTGCAAAACCATTTCACTTCCACTCAAAATCAAACGGTGCTCTCAGATCACACACACATGAGTCAATAAAGAAAACACTACAGAGCATTCATTAGACACTACAGAGAAAAATGGAGAACACAGCATCCAGAACATTACAGAAAAAAGTATATTGTATTGAGTAAACAATTTTGCAATTCTGTAAAAAAGTATAGTAATTGCAACTAAGGTGAATATATTGTATAGGCCTACTGTATGTACTGCAAGAATAGTATTGTGCTGAATATTGAATAGTACTGAATGTTTGTATATATTCAGCACTTGGATACTGCAAAAATACTGCAGTCCAACTGCAAAGGCCAAAAACGTCAAATAAAACTCTAAATGAATAGCATGTTACAGTACACTCAAATACTGCAAGTTGTGCAGTTGTGAAACCAGGGTCAATGAGAGATTAATTCTGTCTCAGCATCATGTCTTTGTGCTTGAGTCCGGCCTGAGGACTTTGTCCACATCACAAGTAATGCTGTATTTTTTGCTAGACAAAGAGAAAAAACCCCTCTGGTCTGACAGATCCAGCCTTGATAACACTCTCTATACCTTACTCTTTCTCTCCTCATCCTCTTCCTCCTAATCCTCCACTTCTTATGTACTCTTCTTCCTCTCCTTCTCAAATTGTTTCCATCTATTGTTCGTATCAACACTCAGTCACCTGTGCCACTTGTGCACTCTGAGCTGGCTCATATTTTGTACAGTTGGTTTGATCACATCATTAGAAACAAGTGTGAACAATTTTGAATCGTTGTGTGTAAACGATGACAACTGTGCTTTAGTTGTGTTTAACTTTTGCCGCTTGTGTTTAGCATTTTGCAGCACAAATGCATCACAGTGTGATAAGTATATTGTAAAGTGTAATTTATTCGTGTGATGTAAAGCTGGACTTTCAGCATCATTACTCCAGTATTCAGTAACAAAGCATTGCACTTAATGCTGATGAGAGAGTCTGTAGTGCAGCAATAGTTTGAATGCATTATGATGTGGAAAAAAACTGAAAGTGGTCATTATTAACTCTCCCTCCTGTCGTTCTGTATGATTTCCATTGATGAACGTTAATGCTGCTTTTTCCTGTACGATGAAGCATACTTTGACCAGGAGTTGATAAACTTTAGAAAAAAAGTATCATAAGAGAAGTCGATGGAAGCCCATTTCCAACACAGATTAATAATGATAATAATAAGGGTTAATTGTGACTTTACTCACAATTCAGACATTTTTATAAACTCAAAATTGTGAGATAAAAAGTCACAATTACTTTTTTTTTAACAGTAGCAAATACAAAAAATTAATTGTGAGACATAAATTCATAATTGCAAGATATAAACTCAGAATTGAGATATAAACTCAGAATAGAGATATAAACTCAGAATTGCGAGATATAAACTCAGAATTATGAGATATAAGCTCAGAATAGAGATATAAACTCAGAATTATGAGATATAAGCTCAGAATAGAGATATAAACTCAGAATTGAGATAAAAACTCATAATAGATATATAAACTCAGAATTACGAGATATAAACTCAGAATTATGAGATATAAGCTCAGAATAGAGATATAAACTCAGAATTGTGAGATATAAACTCAGAATTGTGAGATATAAACTCAGAATTGAGATATAAACTCAGAATTGTGAGATATAAACTCAGAATTGAGATATAAACTCATAATAGATATATAAACTCAGAATTATGAGATATAAACTCAGAATTGTGAGATATAAACTTAGAATTGAGATAAAAACTCATAATAGATATATAAACTCAGAATTACGAGATATAAACTCAGAATTACGAGATATAAACTCAGAATTACGAGATATAAACTCAGAATTGAGATATAAGCTCAGAATTATGAGATATAAGCTCAGAATTGAGATATAAACTCAGAATTATGAGATATAAACTCAGAATTGCGAGATATAAACTCAGAATTTAGATATAAACTCAGAATTATGAGATATAAACTCAGAATTGCGAGATATAAACTCAGAATTTAGATATAAGCTCAGAATTATGAGATGTAAGCTCAGAGTAGAGATATAAACTTTTGTGAGATAAAAAGTCCCAATTGCCTTTTTTTTTTTTTATTCAGGGGCAGAAAAAAACAGAATTGTGAGATATAAATTCAAAATTATAAGATATAAGCATGGAATTGCAAAGAAAAAAGTCTGAATTGTGAGATAAAAAGTAGCCCTTTTTTATTCTGTGGTGGAAACGGGCTTCCATAGAAGTCCATGTGACTTGTACATTACTGTATATAAGCCATTTGATAAGTTTTATATGAGGAACAGACTGCAATTTAAGTCCTTATGCACTGAAAACCTTCTTCTTTGCTGGAACTCACACCGCTTATTCAAATTCTCAAGATCTTTTCCACCAGGTGTGACGTCAGTGACACCAAATGAATGTCTCATGATGCAACAAGTATGAATATACAAAAGTGCATATCACTGAATTATAATTTATATTGAGTCTGTTACTCGAAATGTCAAATGATGACAGGATTTTCATTATTGGATGAGCTATTCCTTTAATTATTTTTTGGAGCTGGTGAAGTTGTCATTTGTCACATCAAATAGAGGTTCAGCATGGGTTTTGGCCCAGCAGTTTACCCCGATTTCCCCCTACTCACACTTAGTGAAACAGCCTGTTCCTCCACACCTCTGTGGGACTCAGATGATGCTGTTGCCTCGACGATAGTTGCCAAGCAGCTGAGGAAGTGCTAATTAGGATTGCAGGAGAGATGATGGGGAGTAGTAGAGGAGTGTGTGTGTGTGTGTGTGTGTGTGCGCATCATATGACCCCTTTAAATGGGCTTCAATCTGTGGACTCTTAATGGTCTCTCCTGGTGTCTTATGACTGCTGTGGTTTGTTTTAGGGCCCCAAAGGCTTTTAGTTTGTACATAAAGGGCTGTATTACAGAAAAAAAACACAAGCCTGTTTATGTGACTGTTTGGTATTCTCTCCCTACAATAATTTTGATTACAGAGTAGGTTATTGCACTCAATTTTGGCATAGTAAGTAGAACTGTATGAAGTAGACACGAACTACGCAAGTATTTTCATGATTACACAAGTTGTATACACAGTACTGTAGAGTTCAGGTTGTAATTGACTTGGATAGTTAACTAAAAATGAATATATTAATTTTCTGTCATCATCTATTCAACAGTGGATACTACTGTATTTTTTTTAAAGAAAGAAATTAATAGTTTTATTCAACAAAAATGCATTAAATTGATAGAAACTGACAGCAAAGACTACAAAAAAAATACAATTTCAAGTAATTGTTCTTCTGAATTTTCTATTCATCAAAGAATCCTAAAAAAGTATCACTGTTTCCACAAAAATATTAAGCAGCAGAATTAAATTATTTCTGAATTACTGACTGGAGTTTCAGCTTCGATCACAGGAATAAATTGCATTTTAATATATATTGAAATAGAAAATTATTATTAATAATATTTCAAAATATTGCTGTTTTTAATGTATTTTTTATCAAATAAATACAGCCTTGGTGAGCACAAGAGACTTCTTTCAAAAACATAAAAAAATGAACAGTAGTGTACATGTTGCTAAAAATATGTGATTTTGAACTAATGAAGAACTTGAGATCAAACTAATCTTACATTTCCCTTCATTTCAATGGGATGTGTCACTGTTATTAAAGAAACATTCCTTTCTTATTCCTGCACTTTCTGTCAGCTGTAATTATTTCCTGTCCCTTCATTCTCTCTATCAGTCTCATATCTTCTCCTGCCATGT